AGTTAAAGTTCTTTCTTGGTTTGGAAATAGCTCGTTCACAAACTGGCATTGTACTTTCTCAGAGGCACTATGCCCTTCAGTTGCTGGAGGATACTGGGTTCCTTGGTTGCAAACTTGCTGTAGTTCCTATGGATTCCAAAGTTCGTCTGAACTCCTTTGAGGGGGAGCTATTAGATGATGGTTCTATGTATAGAAGGTTGATTGGGCGATTACTCTACTTGACAGTTTCTCGGCCAGACATTACATTTGCGGTTCACAAACTGAGTCAGTTCATTTCACAACCTCGTAAGCCTCATCTGAATGATGTCCATCATTTATTACAATATATTAAAGCTACTCCAGGCCAGGGTCTTCTATTTTCTGCCAATTCATCTCTGCAATTGCGGGCATATGCTGATGCTGATTGGGCTTCATGCTTAGATTCAAGAAAATCAGTTACAGGGTTCTGTGTTTTCCTTGGAGATTCAATGGTATCATGGAAAGCAAAGAAGCAGAACACCATATCCAGGTCATCTGCAGAGGCTGAGTATCGTGCTTTAGCCTCAACAGCCAGTGAATTATTATGGATTCAACAATTACTTTGTGATTTTCATATGGATGTCAAGAAACCTGCTTTAATCTTCTGTGACAATCAGGCAGCCGTTCACATTGCTACCAATCCCATCTTTCACGAGCGCACCAAACATATAGAAATAGACTGCCATTTTATAAGAGACAAGATCAATGATGGAGTTGTTAAGTTGCTACCAGTTCGGACAAACCATCAACTTGCAGACATTTTCACCAAGCCATTGCCTGCATCTGTATTGATCTATTTGCTATCCAAGATGGCTATTATCAACATCCATAGTCCATCTTGAGGGGGAGTATCAAAACCTTTATCTGCTCAGCTGACTTCGGTTCTTAATTAGTTGCTAGACACGTGCAGGAGCTTAGTCATCAAGAAGATATTTTAGTTTGGTTGTAACTAATTTTCCCGCCTATTTTTGTTTCCCGCCTTTTTCTCTATTTGCTCTGTATTTATAGTGTCTCAACATCTCTGTATCATTCGATTAGCTTAATAAAAGCTATCTCTCAATTTTCATCTTCTCTGTAATAATTGATTTTCATTAACAGAGAATTCCAAAAATCTATTAACAAATTCGTCAATACATAATACAAGATAAATAATTTTAATAGAGTATAAAAAAGGGACAGAATATAAATCGTGTTCCAGAATTGATCGGAAAAATTAAGTCTAGATGAGATGGAGGCAAAAGGTACTAATGGATTCGACAAAACACCCCAACATAACCAACCATTTTTTGAATTTTGGGTTTTTCTTTCAATTTGAAACACAGATTATTTGTAGAGAAATTAATCAATTATAGAAGAAAAATGAGAAAAAAGTGCTTCAGGAGATGAAAATAAAAAATTTACTCGAAAGAGGAGGATGAGAAAGCAGTGTAGAATAAAATGACATCTTGTTTGATTCAAGCTCACCTGGAAAAATAAAAAGGAAAAAATCATAACAAAGCATCCAATTTCAACCCTAAATCAAGAACGGGAAAAGAAAGAGAGAGAGAAATAACTTGAGAACCTAGATCTAGGATTACAAAATTGCCTTCTTCCACAGAGATCGACAGAGGAGACCATTAGGGTTGCAAATGGCTTCTTCCTTTTAGGCAAATGAGATGAGATGAAACAAAAGTGGGGAAAATCTTCAAAGGGTTTGAAAATTGCTTTCTTCTACAGAGATTGATAGAGAAGACACATTTCGAATGGCTTGAGGGAAGTTCTAGCCAGGTTGGGTGGCGTGTATGAGGTGAATTGCTGGTGAAAATGGATAAGGAGATGGTTTGGTGAAGACGAGATGATGGTTGCGTGAAGAAAAAAAAAGGTTTTTTGATGACGATAAGAAATCGTGACACGTGGGACGCCTTTGCGTTAGCCTCTTTTATTTTATAGTGACATTTATGTCAAAATATTGTCCAAACTATTTGTGTTGTGTAATAACTTGAACCTTAAGATAAGCTATTTTCATATGATATTAGAGTAAAAATTACGTATATTTAAGAAAAACTCGCTATACAAATTATGCGATCCAACGAGAGTAAATAGTAGAAATAGAAAAATCATCTCCAGCAAACGTGAACTCCCTTCGTGCAAGTACCCATAACATTGCACGCTTGAAGATAAAACTCATTGTAAATAATATTGACCTCATCTATTATACTCTTATCACCACACCGCTAATTAAACACGTTACATTAGGTATAGGCATTGATTGTATACATACATTTCTTCGAAAGTGAATCTATTCAATTTTGGGTTGACAATTTGTTTCAACCTAGGATTATTTTTTTGCCTTGATTTGTAGGTTAGGTCAGCTGTTATACTTAACAGAAGTGATCGATAACAGAACTTCAGCTTCCAAAGACCACAGATTCAGCAAAAAAAAAAAATTGAGATAATACAATTGTAAAGAAATAATAATCATTAATAAATTATATTGCAAATTTTAGAAGCTTATCTAACCTTACATAAATTATATTGATTCTTTTAACTCTTTAGAATCGCCAAGGAAGGACATAAAAGCTTGCCGAAACTTGCATTTTAACATGGGTGCGCAGATTTGAACCCTCAAACCTGACATGATTACTATAGAGTCGAGATCAATTATTCTCGTATCATCAACTTTTTTGTAATATATCTTTCCTTTACTAACATTATCAGATGATGAGTAGTCGAAATTAGTATAGAACAGCCAAAAGACATCGAGATCGACCCGTATCATGGTACCTTGATAAAAAAAAATAGGGAAGTTTACATAAATCCTGGTTTTACTTATACACATTTCAAAATTAAGGTCAGATGTTTTAAATTTCAAAAATCATGTTTTTATTTAAATTTATTTATTAATTACTTAATTAATTATATGTTTTATTAATAAATATATAACGGTCA